GTCACTTGACCCAAAACGTTAATTCTGATTTCCCTCCACAGATGCTGCTAGACCTGCTGAGCTTTTCCAGCAATTTCTGCTTTTGTTTCTGATTTACGGCATCCGCAGTTTTTTTTGTTTCTATTTAGGAAGTTCAAGGGTCCTTGTGCACAGGATATGCTGAAGTGATTCTTTGGCTTGTCAGGAATACTGCTGCTTGAACTCCCTTCTCCAGGTACTTTGATTGTCAGAGGCACAGTCTGTCTGCTTCGTACTTATAACATCCCTGACTTATTGTTTAAAAACCACAGCTTACACAATTGGCGAGGGAAAATAAAATGGCTTTCTTCAGGATTGAGCCATTTTGTTACTGTAAAGGACAGCGCCTTCTTTTCTGAAACTCTGATAACTTCTCACCAAACATCCACAAGCTGGTCAGTTACCTGTGAGCCAGTTGCGTAGTTGATGGCAGACAGAAGGCCATTGTCATTCCCAACTTGTCACCATTCCATAGTCCAATCATCTAAATTGTTGCTGGTCAAATCTTCCTTTGTACCCACCCTCTGCCTCCAGCATGCCTATAATCAGCTGACGTCTAATAGTTGTCTGTGTTCTGAATCATGTTGCATTTGTACTCTTTGTCCCTGTTAATAAATCCCAGGATATTTTATGCTTTGTTCACTGCAGTCTCCACCTCTCTTGCCATTTTCAATGTTCTATGCTCTTAAACATCCAGGTCCCTCTGCTCCTGCACTTTCTTTTGAATTGTACCCCATATGTTAAATTGTGTCCAAGTTGTTCTTACCAAAATGCATCACCTCACTTCACTACATTGAGCTTCAAATAACATCTATCCATCCACTCCAACTTCACTATATCCTTTTGAAGTTATGCATTTCATCCAAGTTTTGCAATTCTGTCAAGGTAAAAATAAAATAGAACAACAACGTTTTACAATATTGTGATTAGCTGTAAGGATGTAAAAAATAGGAGCAGGAGTAATCCAGTGGATTTTTCAGGTCTGCTCTACTTCAGGGGTATTCCTTGATCATCTATTTTAAACTCCATCATTTTGAAATATTCTCATATCCATTAATTTTCTTAGTAACCAAAATTCTATGAATCTTTACTTTGAATATACTCGAATGTCTACAGCTGTCTGAGGATTAGAATTTAAGCTTCACAATCTTTAGGGTGAAGAAAAGTCTGCTGAATTCAATTCTCAATGGCCAACATCTTATTCTGAGGATGAGATGTTATTCTAGACTTGCCTGCCTGAGAAAACAGAACTGTGTGAATCTTCCCTTATTTCTTTTAAATTCCAGAAATCATCTGCCTTGACAACTCAATCTTTTTCAGAAAAGTCTCCTTATCAAAGGAATCAGTCTAGGAAAATCATTTTGTGTTACATCAAAAGCACATATTCTCTTCCTTAGATGAAGAAACCAAAGCTATGCACTTTACTCCAGGTATGGTCTGACTGAAGTCTTATGCGATTGCAGTGACTCTTCCTCACTCTTGTACTTCAATCGCTTTGTAATAAAGACTATTATATACCATTTACTTTTCTAATTGTCTTCTTTAATTACCTGTCACGTTTCTGTAACTCTGCCATTCTTCTGGATTTTCTACTAGGTTGAGGACAGATATAAAATAGGGAATGAAGTTTCTTTTCCTGCCTCTAATGGACTCTCACTGCGTATTTTTTTATTTGCTCACAGAAACTTTCTTTGTGTATACTTTATAGTAATTGTGTCTTTATTTGTAGATTTCAGTGTTATCCTTTGAATTCCAAAATTCTCCTAATCCTCAAACTTGCTATGCTTTTTGGCTATCAGTTTTGTAAAAGGTTAGGCAAGGCCTAGCAAGGCCTCTGTCCATATGGTGCCAAACTTGCTTCGTTAACTACCTATCTAGACCCCCCGGTGCTGCTTTTGCCCAATTTTAGCCCCACCCTACTACGCACTGTACCCAGAACAGCTCACTACTGCTGGGATATTCTAGAAGGGACTGGTGTTCCTGGTACCAGCGCCATCTTTAAAAGGCTGTTGTACACTCGGACAAGCACCATCAGTTTGGAGCTGTCCTGTACGTTTCCTGACTCCTGATATTTTCCCCAGGTAGGGCAGACAAAGAAAAACTGGTGCCCCACTTTATGGGCAGATGCTTGGAGATCCTGGTGGACTTGGTGATATGAAGGCTGAACTTCCCCTAACCCTAGGACTGGCAGTGGAGGTCTCTACATCAGACATGCTGGTCTGGTGCAAGGTTGCTACCTGAGTCAGTGCCGTCTCTGTCATCTGGTCGAAGGTACAACAATGTAGGAAGGAAGTCAGTGACTACCTTCACTCTGCTGGCTCAAGTGGTACCATCTTTCTGATAACTCACACGCACTCTAGCTTTTACTGTACCCACCTCCCACCAAGATGCATGGTCTACTGTTCTCACTACTAAATGCAGCATCTTCCCTTACTCAATTTTGCCCCCACCAACACCCGACATCACTAACCCCGTATGCCTCCTTCACTGTCTAACCACTCACTTAAGACACCTCCCTGTCAGCACCAAAAATAACAGCTGTGCCACCCACTCTCATCTTCCTTAGTACCTGTCACAAACCCCACCCCCCCATCAAGAGGAATACAGCCCACAATAGGGCAGAAGGACACAATGAGTGGTGGGCTGCCCAACATGTGGCTCCTCAACCCCTCTGAAAAGAGGATCCTGACTCTGACCACCCCAAGCAGCTGGCTGACTGTGTCCAAGCCCCTGGACTAATATTGGAGGCTTCCCTTGACTTAAACTGCCAAGACCCCCTGACCAAAGATCTCCTGTCTTGATTGAGGCCTGTTGACAAGCATGAAAAGCTTCCTGGCTTTGTGTTTGTGTTAGAGGCAGTGGTGTAGTAGTAATGTCACTGGACTAGTAATCCAGAACCCTCTGAATGTTCCGGGCTCATGGGTTCAAATCCCACCATGACAGATGGTGAAAATTGAATTAGCAATAGAAAACTAACTGACTGTTGACCATGTAAACATTTGATTGTTGCATAAACCTAAATTGTTTAGGGAAGGCTTTGCTTTGCCTTCTTTAAAGAAAACAAAGACTGCCATCTTTATCTGGGATAGCCTACATTAAACTCTAGACCCATAGCAATGAGATGATTCTTAATTACCTTTTTGCCTGTTAGGGATGGCCAATAAATGCTGACATACCCAATGATGTCCACATCCCATCTTTTTAAAATAAAGGCAGGCAATATAGTAGCACTGTGAACTTGAATCTTTGGCTGAGGGGTAAGGCATAAAGTGGCAAGGCAGGGATGATGCATGCATTTGATTTGACTGACTCAACACTAAGTGAAGATGCAGGAGATGCACCTCGGTCCAGTTTGTGAGCTGGTTGCTTGCTCCGACCACAAATGCATCATTGCATTGCTAGTTGCTGTTGTGCTCTGAGTTGTAGCATTGAAGTGCCAAAGCACCCTGTAAGTGGATTGAAGATGGGTTATGAGGGTAATGCCATTGTCTGTGAACATGTGTGGGGCTGGTGGTAATGGAGTGTGCCCTGAGATGTTGACATCTGTTGTCAAAAATCAAGATGTCGAGAATTTTTGGTGTCCAGTTTCCTTGTGGTGGGCTGTAAGATTGGAAGTTGCATATCAAAAATCTTGTTAACAAGCAAAAATTTCCCTTTTTAAGCAACTTGCTCCTGCCAAGCATGAATCTTGCTTAGATGCCCAAAACTTAGCTCAAAAATGCAGTGACTTTCTCCCCACGTCAAAATGGGCCCCACTGGACTTCAGTCACAATTCTGCCATGTTTTTCACCAAATCCTAAGTTGTTCAGGCCCCACAAGATTTCCCTTATATACCTCTTTGTTTAATTCAAAACTATTTTTAAAATGGATTCTGCTGTTATCACTGATCAGGTAACACGCCTTTGAACAAAATTCTCCTGTATTTTCCTTTTGTTCTTTTGATTATTAAATGTATGTCACCTATTTATTGACTGCCCATTCAGTGGAAATAATTATCCCTATGAACTTTAATAAAGCCCTTCATAATACTCGCCACGGCACCACACCGCAGCGGTGTCATTCTCTTGTTCACCTTTTAATAGTTGAATGAAGGTAACTCGTGGTCCTCTCGGGTTTCATAACTAAATCGTACTCCTAATCAAAGTGTTCTATGCTATCTTTAATTCTAATGCTCTGTTTTCTCTTGATAGCTTTCCTAAGCTAGGCTTCAAAACTGGACAATTCTAATTGAACCATGCCATTGATTTTATATGGGTTTGACAGTAGGTGTTTATATCCACTTACTTAAAAAGCTGCATCCCATTAGATTTTTGCAATTTTGAAAGTGCAAGAACAAATTGAGCATTTGTTTATTTGAACGCAGAGATGTTTATGATTATTTACTGAGGGTCCCATTAAGAACCTAAACCACATCAGGCTTTACAGCAACGTCGTGTCAGATGGCACATAACATTGTATCAGACCCAATAATTTTGTTTTCAAAAGTAAGTTAAATGTTGTTTTTTGTGAAATAGTGCTATTCTTCATTTAGTATCTGTGGCTTGACTTGGTTCAATTTTCCTTTATTTTTCAAAATCTCAAAATGAGTGTCCATTCTTTCAGCCTCATCATTACTCTTCCTTTTAAAGTCTAGTATACGCAGGAACATGGTATACAAGTTTTCCAAATTAGAGTCACCTGGGATCTAGTACTATGTTATTAGAATTTTGTTTTAGTTCTTGCCCGAATTGGTCTGTTGGCATAACCCTGTTTGGCATCATGAAGTTCAGTAGCATGCAAAGGGGTATCCTGTTTTTATAGCATGTAGCCAGTCATGTTGCTGTAGATGCTTGTTTGACAACAAGAGCAGTCTATTCAGCTACTGAGAGGGCGTAGCTTTGAAACACTAAAGTCCTTTGGTAATGGTCTTTCACTACTAGTTGTTAAAATGCCTAAATTGTTTAAATTGGCCCTAAAATTCATTATTTATGTTATTTCTTTAGAATCTTGCTGTCCAGAAAGAGTAAAGCAGTCTCGTGGAAATTAAGTAAGTTTTATGTCTTCCTTAAAATTGCAGCTGTGCAAACTGTTTTCTTTTATTTGTTGTCGGGTTTTCAGCAGTGCTGTCAACTGCATTTGATGGCCCTTCTTCATGTGTAGTGTTTTTTGCTTTGGCACGCTGTACTGCAATCTTGAAAATGTGAGATTTCGTTCCCTGAAGATTGCAGTGAACCAGAGTTGTTTTTTCACAAGAGTCCAAATTTTTTTGCCACAAACCTGCAAATAATAAGACACTTCAATTCAAAATTTTCATAAAATAATTCTTCAGTTTGTATTCATTGCATTTAAAAATCACAAGCTGAAATATCGTTAGGTGCAAATATAATTTGAAGAAAAAGTGGATTGTTTTGAGTTTAAAAATAAAAGCAGTCATGCAGTCAGTATTACCTGGTATATTTTGAAGATCTCATGTTGGTTCGTGTAACTGGAATTTTTTTTCTGGCAAAGTTCATGATAAAGTAGGAGCAGCTGCAGGAAATTTCTAGCCAGTTAAATATAGTATTAGAAATACAATGACATGGTTAATTTTGAGTATAGGTTTGAATTTAAGTATTCGTTCATGTTTCTAAATTACATTGTAGCTATCGCATTTCAGACAATGCTTTAGTTGGGAAACCTCAAGGTAGTAATATTCAAAATATTCCTTTTGAGCAAACATGACTGAGTGAGTAACATCACAGATCAAAGTCAGCACATTGCTGATTTCAGACACAAAATTTGAATCAGTGTGCTGGGGACAATGGACAGTAGTTTGACATTACAATAATTCACCCTTGCTCATTTTGGAATTTTTACTCAAACTTGGGATCATAGAGGTTGGATAGGTGGATTTTATTTGAAGATTTGAGTTGGAGGAGGTGGTTTAAGCTTTGCTGGCTGTACAGTAGAGAAAGGCAGGAGGCTTGAGAGGAGTGATAGTTTATTTGGGTTCTAAAGTAGAGAATTTTTTTTTGATTCTTTGAAGACTATTTTTAACAGTTGAACCTTTTTTAAGCAGTGCATCAAAACAGCATTTCTAAGAAATTGTGAGACTTAAGATAAATAACTAGTTAAGCTCCCTGGTGAGAAAGTTGCTGAAATCTTTACTAAATTGGATTTTTGCTATCTTCAGAAAGAGATCAGAAGCAGGTGCAGCTCAAAAGAAAAGGTGTACCAGTAGAAGAATACCAGTAATTCAGTTTTGGCATTGTCTAGGCTATCAGAGATGGAAAGAAGTCTTCAGTTGTTATAGCAGTCAAAGTAGACAGGGTTGGGGGAATAAAACTGAGCTTTGCTTACAGAGTAGTAAAGAAAAGTGAGTTATTTTCTGAGTGTCTTTGGGAGAGATAGCAACTGAGAAAATCACAGCTGGTGAATGTGCAGAAATTTGTCAAAAGGGCACTGCTTGTGATCTCCTCAGTTGAGTAAGAAATCTTCGTGAAGAATAAGAGTCATAATTGACTAGGGTAGATTGCCTCAAGGATTATCTGGGAATAAAAGATCGGCCTCTTTCTTTTGCTTTTTAATTGATCTTTTCAAATTTTCTTAGTTTGTAATTTTCCTTTATGTAATAAATTTTAATCTCTTTTCAAATGTATTTGCAGTCTCTTGTGACTCAACTCAGTTGACTGACCACCATGGTAACTGAATTGAGAAAACAAAACTTGTAGACTATGAAGTCAGGCTTCATTCTGTGATCTTTTGTTACTGCCAGTTGCAATCATAGAATAATGGTGGCATTTTTTTAATGGTGTCAGAAAGTGTGATAGATCTGCTGAAAAGGTCTCCAGTGTTGCCTGTCCAAATAATTATTTGTGGTACTTAAACCAGACTGGTTTAGCTTCATTACCTGGACAGCTAGTTTGTAATGCAATGTGAGGCCAAGAATGTGGGTTAAATTCTTGCATTAGCTGAAGGTACCATGAAAAATTCTCCTCCTCATTTCTTACCTGAGGCCTGGTGACCCTTGGATTAAACTATGACAGTCATCTCTCTCCGAGAGTGCAGCCCTATGGTCTAGTAAAACCGTAGTGACTTTACCTTTACATTGTTATCTAATTGCTACTGGAGGTTTAGTATTTTCCATACAAAATCTTTATTGTGCTTAAAATGTTAGGAAAACCTACATTTTGGTTTCAACCACTATTCTAACAATTGTTATAAAGATTAAAATCCTCCGTAATTATTGCATAACCTCTTTCCAGCTCCTCTTATTGTTGCTGTTTTGCAATAACCATTATTCAAAGTAATAGTTATTTTCCCTCCAAGAAGGGAAAAGATGGGAAGTTTCTTGCAATTTCAAGTCAAGATTTTCTGGCAAATATAAAATTGGCACCGGAAATGTAGGTATGAAATGCACATTTTCTATTGTATATGAATGCTTAACATCTATTTAGACGTAGAGTGTGAGATTTTAACACTGACTCAAATCCCACACAGTTACAGATTTTAAAAATTGGGACCAAATGATGAATTATCCAAATGACTTGACATCATTCTGAGACTGAAAGAATCAGATCCAGGATGACTTAGTTCTTACAAAGTCATAGAGTCATACAGCATGGAAACAGATCCTTTGTCCCAACTCATTCATGCCGACCAAGTTACCTTTGTTATTTATATACCTGTCATTTAAAATGTCTTTTAAATGTTGTGACTGTACCTGCATCTACCACTTTGTCTGGCAGTTCATTCCACATATGAACCACTGTGTAAAAATGTTGCCCCTCAGATCCCTTTTAAATCTTTTCTCCTGTCTCGTTAAAATTATGTCCCCTGGTTTTGAACTTGTCCACTCTAGGGAAAAGACCTTTGCTATTCACCTTATCTGTGCCTCTCATGATTTTATCAATCTCTATAAGGTCACCCCTCAACTCCTATGCTCCAGTGAAAAAGGACTCAGCCTATCAGCCTCTCCCTATAACTCAAACTATCCAGTCCTGGCAACATTCTGGTAAGTCTTATCTGAACCCTGCCCAATTCCATATTCTTCCCATCGCAGGGTGACCAGAACTGTACAAAGTACTCCAAAACTGACCTCGCTGACGCCCTGTGCAACCTCAACAACTCATACTCAGTGGTCTGAGCAATGAAGGCAAGCATGTTAAATACCTTCTTAACCACCCTGTCTATCTGTGATGCAACTTTCAAAGAACTGTGTACCTGAACCTCCTAGTTCTCGCTGTTCGACAACACTACCTGGAGCCCCACTATTAACTGTATGAGTTCTGCCCTTGTTCGCTTTACCAAAATGCAATATCTTGCATTTACCCAAATTAAACTCCATCTGCCACTGCTCAGCCCATTGGCCCAGTTGATCAAGATTCCTTTGAAGAAGGTTATTTAGGATGACACTGTCAACTATAATCACTAATTTTGCTGCCATCTGCAAACTTACTCACTGTGCCTCCAAAATTCTAGACAAATCATTTATGTAAGTGACAAACACAGTGGACTCAGCACTAATTCCTGTGGAACACCGCTGGTCACAGGCCTCCAAGCCAAAAAATGACCCTCCGCCACCACACCCTCTCCACTCATCAAGCCAGTTTTGGATTCAGGGAGAGCTTGTCAACTGGATACAATGTAATCTAACTTTACTAATCAATCTACCATGCAGAATCTTGTCAAAGGTTTTGTTAAAGTCCATTGGACAATGTCTACTGCTCTGCCCTCGTCAGTCTTTTTGGTTACATCCTCAAAAACTCAAATCATGATAGAAATAACAATACAATTTCCTAAGCAGGAAGCCATGCTGACTATCCCTAATCGGTGCCTACCTCTCCAAATGCATGTATATCCTCTCTCTGAAATCCCCTTTAATGACTTAGCCACCACTGATGTCAGACTCACCAGGCTATAGTTCCCAGGCTCCTCCCTACAGCCTTTCTAATGCAAGCCTGTACATTAATGTGGCAGTCAGTTAGCACAGTTGGTTGGATGACTGATTTGTAATGCAGAGTGATGCCACAGCTTGGATATGGTTCCCATATCAGCTGAGGTCACGATGAAGGTCCCAACTGCTTGACCTCGCCCCTCACCTGAGGCATTGTGACCGTCAGTTTAAGCCACTGCCACTTGCGTGTCTGTAATGAGAGAGCAGATGTATGGTCCTCTTAGACTATAGTAACTTGACCTAATGTGCCACTACTTGGGGGAGGTTTAATTGCATTATACTGTACATTTATGTAGGCATTTTAGATTATGACCACGGATTTTTGGGGTGGGGAAATAAGATATTATAGGTTTCAAGTTGTTGATTTATTATAGTTGAATGTGAGGTGTGGTCAGTTTGATGAAATAAAACATCACAATTTTTTTGTTCATTCCAGTGACATTGCTAACCTAGCTGAATTGCGTTAGTCACTTGAGGAAATGTAGAACATATCATTTTTACAATACAAAATCTTGAAATGAAGTTTAGAAATTGTTGTAAAGGACTCTTTTTAATACAATTAGTTTGGTCAGAACCTTAAGAAAGAAATATTCACCTGTTGGCTAGCATTTTTGTTATAGATTCTGTTACAGAAAACACTACAACATGACTGAAATTAACAGTGAGACAGGATTCTACAGTGTACAAGTTGGTGATTCTACCTTCACTGTTCTCAAGCGTTATCAGGCATTGAAGCCAATAGGTTCAGGGGCTCAGGGAATTGTCTGGTAAGTAGGTCTACACTATCTAGCTGTAATATCCATATATAAAATTTAATAGCAAAAAGTCTATAAAAATTGGCTATATATATGAATTGGATTGTCTTTTGACTGATTTTATGAAAGAGAGAGTCTGCATTGTTCTCTACTCACTAATTTCTTTCATGTTCACAGTTATCACTTGTCTTTTATATACATCCTCTGTCTTGCTCTATTGTGTGTTCTTTTCTACCTCCCTTACTCCATTTTTCATATCTGTACTCAGACTCTTTCAGAGGCCTTCCAGCTTGAGCAGTATGGAAAGTCCGTAAGAGGATGCTTTGTCATGAAGGCATTTATTCTCCAAGTTTTTAAACCTTTTATTGAAGAAAATATATTCAGCATTCATGCTCTAAAAATCAGTTGGAATCTAAATTGGCCCATGCTAGTGTGGGAACCCAAAAGCAAATTGAAAAATACCAGCTCGCCCCTTTAATTTGTTGTCAGGCTCTTAAAGAGACTGATTATTGTCCTTCTGGTCACTATCAAGCCTCCACAAAAATGGTCCAAAAGCAGAATGGAGTGGGAGGGACAAGTATGCTGGCCAGTGAGGTGAATTTCTGGCCTGCCCAAGTCCAATTCTGGCTGCTACTGTTGTTCCTGTTTTTGCGCTCTCAAAAACTTTTGGTTATCTTTCATTGGCTGCTAAAATCTTAAGTCAAAAACAATTTAATGGAGTTTTTATTTTTCTGTTTTTTTTTAAGACCTTGCCATAAGACCTAAGAAGTAGGAACTAGAGTACTCCATTCAACATCTTGAGCCCATTCAAGAAGATCATAGCTGATTCGACATTCCTCACGTCCACTTTCCTGCATTTTTCTCAATGCTTGATTCTCCTACCGCTAAAGAATCTATCTATCTCCGCCTTAATATACACAAGGACTTTGCCCCCACAGCTCTCTGTGGCAGGGAGTTCCAAAGACACATTCCTCTCTGAAGGAAGTTGTTTTTCCTCATCTTAGTTTTAAATTGGTGCCCCTTTATTCCGAGACTATGCTCTTTGGTCTTAGAGTCTTCTATGAGGGCATTAATCCTGTCAAGCCCATCAGAATCCTATATGTTTCAATGAGATCGCCTCTTATTCTTCTAAATTTAAATGCGTAGAGTCCCAATCTGTTTAACCTTTGCTCAGAAGATAATCCTCCGTACCAGTGATCATCCTAGCAAACCTTCTTTGAACTGCCTTCAATGAAATAGGGGAGAAATGTTGCAAAACTGCTAATGGTATCCCAGATATGATTTCACCAGCGCCTTCTACAGTTCTACTACAACTTCTTAGTTTTAAGCGCCAACCCCCTTGAAATATGGGCCAGTATTCCATTCACCCTCCTTATCACCTGCTGCACCTGTGCATTAGCTTTTTGTTTTGTGCACAAGCACCCCAAGTGCTTTTGTGTTGCAGCTTTCTGCAATTTCTCTTCCATTAAATAATGGTCTACTCTCTTGTTCTCCCTTCCAGAGCGATCAACTTCAGTTTCCCATGTTATATTATACTCCCCTTGCCAACTGTTTAGCCCACCTACTGAAACTATCAGCATCTTTCTGTAAACTGCTCGTATCCATCGTTCAACTTGCTTTCGTATCTATTTTTGAGTTGTCTGTAAATTTGGCTACTGTCCATTAGCTTCCTTCCTGCAAATCATCAATATATATTGTATTTGTAGTCGCAGCACTGTTCCCTGTCAAGCCCCACTGGTTCAAGGGTGTCAGCTTGGAAAAGCTCGTTATTTCCTGCACGTTAAGTAATTCTCTCTCCATACCAACATACTACCTCCAACACCATGGGCTCATGTAGCTTAACGTTTTGTGAAGTACCTTGTCAAATGCCTTCTGGAAGTTCAAATACAGCACATCTACCGATTTCCCCTCAATCCACCCTGGTTGAGACTTCCTCAAAAAAAAACTAATAAATTAGTCAGACACAATTTCCCTTTCATGAAGCTGTGCTGACTCTGTTTGATTAGTTTGAGTTTCCAAATGTTCTGCTATTACTTCCTTAATAATTTGATTCCAACATTGGATGTTAGGCTAATCAGCCTACAGTTACCCACTGTTTGTTTTTCTTCCTCTTTTTTGAATGGAGTGTTGCATTGGTAGTTTTCCAATCCTCTGGTACTTCTCCAGAATCCAAGGATTTTTTTTTTTTTGAAGTTACAATAATTCTCCAAACAACAACTCCTCTAGGATCCCAAGATTTTTGGAAAATTGCAATAATATTTTGAGAATTGAAATATTTTACTACTGCTTATTTGCCATCATAACTTTCAACCTAATTGTCCAATCCATATTGGTTAATGCTTCTCTCATTCCTATGTTAATGTCTTTATTTAAGTTTAACGCAGAAGCGTGTCATTCTTGCACTTGATGTAAAATTTATCATACCAAGATTACTCTTTCCCAGGGAACTCTTGATATGAAATTAATAATTAACCAATATCTTTACACTAGAAATAGTCTGTTTCCTAGTTTGCCTCCTAAGAACAGGCATAGGCCATTCAATCCTTCGAGCCTACCCTGCCAATCAATGCAATTATGGCTGATTAATTATGTCAATGCCCTTTACCCATCTGAATGACTCTGCATGCCATTACTAATCAAATCTATCAATCTGTACTTCAAACATACAAACTGAACTTCTTCAGCCATCTCAGAACTAAGTAGTATCCCACATATTTTTAAATGTTGCCCCCTAATTCTAGACCTCGTTTCAGGGGAATTATCTACCCTGTCTATCCCTTTTTAAGTATTTTATAAATTTGAATGAGATCACCTCTCATCCTTCAAAACTCTAGAGAATGCATTCGATAAGGTGCTCTTCCAAACTGCATCTACCAATTTGATTTGTTTGATTTAATTCCCCTATGATTATTGCATTACCTTTGCAGAACTCCTTTTACTTTTTCATCAATACTCTGTCCATTAGTATGGCTACTGTACTACAGACATACAAATAACTAGCACCATTGCTTTTGGCATCTTTTTATTGCTTAACTCTACCCAAACTGATTTTGCTGCTTGATCATATGAATCAAGATTCTTCATCACTGTTGTCCTTGTGTCATGCATTATTATCAAAGCAACCAGACCCCTTATATTCAGTTAAACTTCCAATTTTCCCCTTTGGCTTTTTCATTAATTCACAACAAGATTACTAAATCTCATTAAACACACTGTCCCATTCCCTTACTTTGCTAAACTTGAACAAAATTTCTATACTACTATGTGGCTTTAACCTTTCTCTCTTGCTTTACAAATTTTCCCTTGTCAGAAGCTTCGTCTGAACAGAAGCATCTTTTGTTCCCACCTCTACTTTTAGTCGTTGAAATCCTTGCAAATAGGTTCACATTCAGCAACCTGTCACCTAAAATAACAATGCAATTTCCCATCGGAGTTAAGAACTGACAATGTTTTTGTTTTTGGTTTGAATGACTAAATATTTTTCCTAGTTGTTTATAACAACCATGTAATAGTTTTGTTTACTTATCCTTGAATTTTCTTTACTTACACGGAGAATTTCACGTCATCCAGTAGGTAAAGCAACAATCTCACCTATCCTATAATGGGTGATGCTAAACATCATGCCGGAACGTAACTTCAGAAGTCATTTTTCCCATTTATGAAGTTGGTTCTGCTAGCCACTATAGAAAAATACAAATCTTGCTTTGTTTCTCAGCTTTTGTATGTTGGAGAAAATTTTACTTACTACTTTTTTAAATTGCAGTGCTGCATATGATAGTATACTTGATGGAAGTGTTGCTGTTAAGAAACTCAGTCGACCTTTTCAGAACCAAACTCATGCCAAGAGAGCTTACAGAGAGCTTGTGCTACTTAAGTGTGTTAATCATAAAAATGTAAGTTGAGAAATGGTTTTTGTAATATTTCATTGTCTCGAGCAAGGTGAAGATGGTGAGCATCGCATGTGAAATTACAGTAATACAGAATTATTTAAGTTATACCTGTAGGATTAGAAAGTTAGTGCAATGAAATAATACATAGTTGTTTCTCGTGTATGTGGTTTGCTTCACACTTTGGCTTAGACATAAACCAACAAAACGGAACTATATTGCTTGAAACAAAATAATGCAAGGAGACATATGAACCCTTCAGTTGCTTGTAATTTCTTTAAGTTGAGAAAATAGGAGATGTTTGTTTGGAAAATAATAGGAAAGTATTACAGTAAGTCCTCACTTAAAGTTATGGCTGAGAGTCATGATTTGAAATGAAACCAGTATTAAAACTGCAGTTAGTACATGTAGAACCTTCCTCTCGGAAAGAAACAGACATTCAAATGTTATACCCTCTAAATTGAAAAATTTAACATTGCTAAAGTTCCTATATTGGAAAATTAAACTCATAGGTTTAATAATATGAAAGAATGTAACTTGCTACTTACAGTACAGGCACCATCTTCATGGTTGGCAATCCTGCTTCCAAAATTTTATGGTCCTATTTAGTTTACATGGGAAATATTAAAATAAATCTCATGATGCTCAACAAGATTGCAAGTCCTATTAATTCACCAACATTAAAGTGAAACATTGTTAAACAAGATAACTTTAAGCAAGGACTTACTGTACTTTTTTTGTACTATAGTATCATGCTAAACGTGCACAGTGCAATTTAGGGTTCAAAATTCAAGTGTGTTTTGAAATGTACATGTTATTCAAAATGTTTAAAATTGCTTGCAGGAATTCACTTGCTTCCCTTTATTTCCTAAGTATAAACATGCAAAGATCATTGGGTCACTAAGGCTTCTAGCTATAAACATGCAAAAATATGTAAAGTTTAAAGAAAATTACTAAATTAATGATGGTAGTGTAATGGATAATTAACTGTTCCTCTAATTCAACTAGTATTAAATGACAAAGAAAGTATTATATAATTTTGAATAAAATTGCCAAATTTACTCAACTTCTCAGTTACTGAGTTTAAAATGGTGTAATACTCAGGTTACCTTTCTCATTAAAATGCGCACACAACTTCAACATTCCTTTGCTGCAAAACTGGTGCATGTAATGCTTTCCCTTGTTTCATAAAAATACATGAGTACTGCGTTTTGAGGATTCATATTGTAGTGTCCATGTTGAGCAGCCTGGGATTATATATTAAACCATGGTAATTCTACATTAAACTGATCATTCAAATTTCTTCTTGCAGATTATTAGTTTGTTAAATGTATTTACACCGCAAAAGTCTTTAGAGGAATTCCAAGATGTGTAAGTATTTGAGTGAAATGTGACAAAGGTAATAGATTATGAAATTTTCTTCAGAAGGGTTAGCTTCATGAAGTACATAAAGGTTGTAACATAAATTCTGTATTCTCTAGTTACTTGGTAATGGAGTTGATGGATGCCAATTTGTGCCAGGTTATCCATATGGAGCTAGACCATGAGAGAATGTCCTACCTTCTATACCAGATGTTATGTGGTATTAAGCACCTCCACTCAGCGGGTATTATTCACAGAGTAGGTACTCCAGATTTAATTTTTGGAATGTATATATATGACAAAGCATGAAGTTTTTTTTTCTGGTCAAAGGCTGCGTTTTTGAATATGGGATAAATGCATCAGTTTCTGCTAAATGCTTAATACAATTTTGTGCCTTTTTCATCAATCGTGATCATGTAAGAGAGTTTATTAATTATCTCCATGATACAAGAAAAGCTTGTTCATAGTGTGTGAATCATGAAGGTACTTTTAAGTCATTTCCTGTTATCAGAGTTGCTTCAGGTACTTTAAGCAGTTTTCTTTCTAAGCTGATTAATTTCTGTTGTATCTTTTTAAATGTTTCCTTTTTTCTTTGTAACAGGATTTGAAGCCCAGCAATATAGTAGTAAAGTCAGACTGCACTCTGAAAATCTTAGATTTTGGACTGGCGAGAACTGCCTGTACTAATTTTATGATGACTCCATATGTAGTGACGAGATATTACAGAGCACCTGAAGTTATTTTAGGAATGGGATACAAAGAAAATGGTAAGCTGTTTGACAAAACAGTCCACTTAAGACAGATATGTAGTTGGTATGAATTCCTGAGTCACTGTTTTGCCAGTTTCATTTCCCCCTCAAACTTAATTGTTCTTGGTGGATTATAGTTCTCGTGGTATCTTTCTGTTGCGATACATCACCCATATAGCCATTCCCCTGTTGGCAGACATTGCAGCAGAGTCTGATCTGCTCAGTTGACATTCACAAATGCACGTCTCACCTGGAATGTTCAGGATCTCAAACCCTCTTAGCCCTCACGTTCACAAGCTTGGAACTTGAAGTCATATGCAACATTTAATTTATACCACGATTGGGATGAATTTACTCAAAGAGATTAGCATTATTTTAATTTTAAGGTCTCTATAGTTTATTGGCATGAGATTTGAGAGTTTTAACAAATTTGACATTTTTCTTGCTAACTGAGATATTGATTCAACTTACAGGGAGGATGTGGGGTAAAACTCTCTGGGATGTGAAAGTGCTGTGATAGAAGTAAAAATCAAGCCTTGGTGTAATGGGTGGCTGACCTATAACACTAGTTTTATACCTAGGTAGCAAGTTGAAAACTTTTTTCCCCAGAGTTTCAGTCTTGCATTCAGTTTTTCCTTTTGATCCTTTCCCCAGCTTCTGTTTGGGAAAATTTGAAAACTTTTACCACTAAAGATGGGCAAATTGCCCTGATATTGAAATGCTGTCCAGTGATTACTCCAATTCTGAAAAGTTGGCTCATGTCAAAATCAGTCAGTTCAAAATTGATATGGACCCAAGAGGCTCAGAAATAATATAGGCTATGTTTGCCCTGATTCCTCATTTCCATGCCCCTAATGAACGTTGCTTCTGACCCAGTCAGCCTTTGAGCAAGCTGAAGCGAGACACCCACAGCGCAACAGTAGCATGAAGTCCAGCGCTCAAAGTTCTGGGGCACCTGTCAGCTGGCAATATGCACACCCAGAAGACTCTCCCATCGCGCAAATGTATTTTGGTCATTTTCTAGTTTATTTTAAAATAAATATGAAGTACAGGTACAGAAGATACTGCACCTTTTTTAAAGAAACTGAATAAAAGACAGTATTCGAGTTGTATATCCTTTCTTTACAAAGCCCAGTCATCTCGGTGTTTGAAAATGAGATGATGCTGATTTTGAAGAGGCCTCAAACTACATTGTAATGCTTAATATAAGAAATACTAGTTTTAGTATTGAAATCACTCATAATGGAACTTTATTTTCAAGTTACCCTGGTGTTGAAAGATTCATAAACTGAAAATAGTCATTATACATAATGCACGTAAAAATGGGCTGCGCACCATATGAACTTTTAAAATGAAAATGTAACTTATCAAAACGCAACACTCTTAATGTACTTGACTTCAATAAAAATCGCTTTCCTACTTTATTTTTTTCTGCCATGTAATATCACAACTGAATTTAAGATTCCGGCTCCACTTGAAATACACCTTCATTTATTTGCTTCCAAAAAACGACACTCCAGTGATTAGATCTGCTGCTTAAAAGGGAATAAAAAAACCAGATTAATTTGAATCTGATTCAGAATGTTTGACGTTAAAAGTAAGCAGATACAGAGTTAGCTCCCCATTTTCCTTTTAAAGTTCTTAAATTAAAATTGACAAAGCTGTCAGTTATAATTTAAGTTTTAGTTCTAACAGGCAGTGATGCAATGGTTGCCTTTTTCAAAAAAGGAAGGGTTCTGTTTTGTATAATTTGTTCCATTTTATACCAAGACAGTTGAAATAGCTTAACTGTTTAATAAAATTGAGTCACAAAATATCAAACAAATAAGTTTTTACAATTGGCTTTTAAGGTGACTGACTGGTGAAGTGCTCTTGTTGCACCCTTAATTACATTTCGTGCACTTGTATAGAGGTGTATTAAATAGCATTTTCTTTTCATTGTTTTGTTAATCTTACCCACCTAAACCATATAGTGGACTTATGGTCTGTTGGTTGCATTATGGCAGAAATGGTGCTCCACAAAATCCTGTTTCCTGGAAGGGACTGTATCCTTGCGCATCTTTTAAAACTCAAGTTTGTTCATCCACATGGTGTTTTTCAAATAAAATATTTATAAAATGATTGACGACTGGGTTTGCTGTATATATTCTCCAGACCCTATAATTTGTTACTGCTGGAATATATTCTTTCTCATTGTCATATTATGTAAATTTCAAAGCATTTTTCTTGTCTTGGTTTTCATTTTCTGAAAGGCATGGTAATTATCCATCATTTCATTTTACTTTCAGTTGATATCTGGTCAGTGGGGTGCATCATGGGAGAAATGCTGAAAGGTTCTGTGCTATTCCAAGGCACTGATCGTATCCTTCCCCAACAATTCTTCAATTCGAAGTCATTGATGTTGAGAGCAAAAGAAATCTTAACTTTTCCCTTGTTTTGATGACCAAACCATGTTTTGAAGATGAAGTACAGCATTATTCTAGTTATTTTATATTACTTTTCCAGCTTGCCATTCTTGAACTTTTTCTTGTGAAGCTCTCAGTATGTGTCTATTGATTCTGTTGCCTGCATTACGTTAACTTTCCTCCTCCTCCTCTGCTTTGTGCACAACACTTTCCTCTTTCTTAAAACTATCTGTCCAAAAAAGAGCAAGAAGTAGCTTCTAAAGCTGATTGATAGCCACAAAAAGGAATAGTTGTTATCTAAATGTCAAGTTGGCCTAGTTCACTGAAGAAATCAAATTCCTTTTCTAAGGATTGTAAGTATAATTTGCTACACTGTTGTGGAAGTTTTATTGAGAAAAGTTAACTTGCTCATTAAAGTACTTAAATATAAGCACAAAATATTTAATCTTCCAAGCTATATTTCAAATTGGTGAAATGCAGATTTTAAGTTGTGTTTTGGGTATGGTTTATTTTAATAAAATTGCATAGCTGTCCCTTCAAAATGGCAAGTTAAATGAGAAGGAGAAATCCTACACTTAAGTTTCATTAGAAAACCATTACATCAAGAACATAATTTTTAAAACTTGAACTAGCTCTATTTTTCACTTTAACTACCTACATTTTTATCAAAAATTTTCCACAATCATAATGCTAACCAAATTCCTTAGAGATTTGTTTACTTCTAACATGCATGCAAGCCACTGATATTGTAGTTGTAGATATCAAATCTTCCATGTCATTATTTATGTTACTCTAATTTATCTTTAATCATGTTTCATATCGTTGTTTGGTATCAGTGTGGTTGTAATTATATAATGCTATGGCCAGTTCCTGAAATACGATTGTTTGGAGGAAATTATAAATTGTTGGGAATTCCATGATAAAGTTAAATAAGACTGAGAACTGGTTAGACAATGGCATTATATAGTGGCAGTAATGAACGCCAAGATTTGTATTTTTGACATTTTGAATTGTTGACAAGCAAGATATGCTTGGTTAACATTCAGCAGTACTGTCATTGTGCACCATTAATTCAGACTTTTCTGCTAATTGCCAAAGTATTCTTATGTTTTTATGATGCTTATTATGTTCAAGTCCCTATATATGCTAGGTAAGGCAAATTGAGAAATCGCGTTATCTCCATTGATTTTAAACCTGTCCGACCAGTACTCTTTAAGTGCTGCTTTTAATTTTTTTTTTTGTTCTATTGATACCAAACTGCAGATCCAATAATTAGTCTGGAATAAGTCAAATTTCACTGATCTTCAGAGTACCAAGTTAAGGGATGATTATCTTGGCATTGCAACATGTGGTGTCTCAGTTTTTTTTTATAATTCACTTGTTGGACATAGGCATCGTTGGCTCAGCCAGCATTTTTATGCCTGTCCCTAGTTGCCTAAGAGATGGTTGTAGGCTGCCTTCTTGAACTGTTGCGGTCCATGTATTACATTGGTAGCCAGTAACACTGGGGATGGAGGAGCATTGTGTCATGCTGTAGTTTTGAACCTCTCCCAAGGATAATTGAAGCGAAGTACTGAGAGAACAGTTATGAAAACAATATTTCAGCTACTGTTATAAAAGAAGCCAAGAAGGGACTTAACGAATTCTTAACCTTCAAAGATTTTTTTTTTCTGACCTTAAAATGAAATAAAGCAAGATATTGCTTACCTTTCTCTTTAGAGATAAAACCCACATATGACTAACACTCTCTGTTCTTTTGAGGACCAGCTTCTAGTTTTAAAAAAAGTTGAACTTGTGTAGATAAAGTTTCACATTGTCTTTCTGAACGTAGCTGATTTAATTAATCTTATGGCCTCTGATAAGACTAAATATGTCTAATAAAAACCAAAAGAACTGCAGATGCTGTAAATCAAGAACAAAAACAAAGTTGCTGGAAAAGCTCAGATAACAAGGTGTAGAGCTGGATGAACACAGCATGCCGAGCAGGAACGCTGACGTTTCGGGCCTAGACCCTTCTTCAGAAAACGCCCGAAACGTCAGCCTTCCTGCTCCTCTGATGCTGCTGGGCCTGCTATGTTCATCCAGCTCTACACCTTGTTATCTCAGATTCTCCAGCATCTGCAGTTCCTACTATTGCTGGAAAAGCTCAGCACGTCTGGCAGCATCTGTGAAGGAGAAAACAGAGTTAACGTTACGGGTCTGGTGACTGGGAAAACGTCAGTTTATATGCACAAAATAGGGAGGTGGGTCGGGTAGGGAGTAAATGATAGGATAGAGCCCAAAGAGAGCGAGACAGCTGGACAGACAAAGGAGTTGCTAACGATCAGGCTGGGAGGGTGAATAGTGAATAGTAAATACTTCTGTTGTTTTTAAGCTATTATAGTCATTGTCTATTTTATAGAGTATTCTGTTATAGTAGGTGATATGCTCCAGAAGTGTGTAACATTATCTCTGAAAAGGTTGTTTAGGAAAATATATTTTCTTTCTTAAAAAAAAGAGAAAATGTCGTCATCACTTTGTCAGTGCACCTGTTGCTATAAAGCCTTCTCTGGTGAAAAGCCCTGAAAATGTAAGTGAAAACTTGATCTTTTGGATAAAAGATTTAGTTAAAAATGCAACTACTCTGATTTTGAAAACTGTCATTGATTATATCATTATAGTTGCCAATGCTGACTTTTTGAAAAACCTATCCAATTAGAAGGAGCAAATTACTACAGATGCTGGAATCTGTACTGAAAACAAAAAATGCTGGAAATAACAGTAGGTCAAGCATTTTCCATGGGGAGACAGTAAGCTAATGTTTCAAGTTGAGGTGACTCTTCATCAGAGCTGACGTGAAGTGTGGAGGGGACAGCATTGACCCAATAGTGGTGAGCTGGAGTGCTGGGGAGAAAGGCTGCTGATCGATCATTTAATTTGTACT